CTTATCTCCACATGGGCTCCAGATGAGCAAAAGCTAATTAACTTGCTGTGTGTAAAACACTGAAAACACATTGTGCATCTTTCTGATTGCCCCCATAATACGTCAACAACAAATCAAAAGCTATTTAATAACAGATATGACTCTGTTGGTTATATATAGCCTTTTAAAAAACACAAGCGTATGCCTTGATCGTGTTATATAGGATGTGTGTTTTCATTGCTGCGTCAGGGGAAACTTTTACGTCAATATGTGGGTTAATTGCTCTCAGATTTCTAGGTGTCAGGACACAATTAAAAGGGTATTACTGCCAAAAGCACCATTCCTTAATGGACGGTTAATTTAGTTTGTTTTATTAGAGTATCTAATCTAATTTATGGGGTTTATATATTAGTATTTTTGCTCTAGTGTGGTTCATTAAGACAGACTACAACTTTAATATACTTTCACATTGGGCTTTTTGCTCATGTTGACTGGCTTAATTTCCATACGCTTTCAGTAAGGTATAAACAATAATGCAGTTCATAAAGACTGAACATTTGAATGGCAATGCCATAAAACCTTTGATTGATCTGTGAATGATCATGGTAAATTAAAAATAACGTACTTTAATGACAAATGTTATTGTAAACAGTAAAGTTTAAACTGTACTTAATTTTCCTAAAATTATAAATAGAATTTTAGACTTTTTAAATTTGTATTCTACAAAAGCTTAGTATTTGTGTCTAATGACAATCCAAAAATACTTAATAATAAATTGTATGATAAAAAAAGCATTTTCCAAATTTGATAAACAACTAAAAGTCAATTTAGTTTCTTAAGTACTTTCTTGTTATTCATTTCTCAACATTTTCTTATATTTATTATATAATTAATTATATTGTACTATATTATATACTCAACATTAAATAATATTTTATGTGCATACTGTTGTGATGTGCCATGCATTTAATGCTAGTGAATGCAAACTTTAAAAAAGTCGTCTTTATTTATGAAATTAATAATATTCTAATTTTCATATTATTTTATATTCTCATTTTATATTCTCAATGAATTAGATAAACAATCATTCAAAATACACTAAAGTAACTTCAGTAAACTTTATACACAACTATAAACCAGAAGTTTACAGACACTCTAAAAAATAAACATAACCATTTTTTTTTTTTTTTTAAGTCTGATGGTAAATCATACTAAACGTTTACTATTTTAGGCCCCTTATGATTACCTAAATGATTTACATTTGCTAAATGGCAGAATAATGAGAGATTTTTTTTTTATTAATTTCTAGACAGTCAAAAGTTTACATACATGTCCTTGATATTTTTTTAGCTTTGCTTTTACACTGTATAACTGTAGTCAAATGTTTTGAGTATCCGTCCACAAGCTTCTCACAAAAGTTTGCAGGAATTTTGGCCCATTCCTCCTGACAGAATTGGTGTAACCGAGTCAAATTTGTTGGTTGTCTTGCTCACACAAGCTTTTCCAACTCTGTCCACAAATTTTCTATGAGATCAGGGCTTTGTGATAGCCACTTCAATACATTCACTTTGTTGTCCTTAACGCACATTTTAACTAATTTGGCAGTATGCTTAGTGTCATGGTCTGTTTGGAAGAGCCATTTGTGACCAAGTTTTAATTTCCTGGCTGATGTCTTGAGATTTTGCGTCAGTATTTCTACATAATGTTCTTTCTTCATGATGCCATCTATGTTGTGAAGTGGACCAGTCCCTCCTGCAGCAAAACAGCCCCACAACATGATGCTGCCGCCCCCATACTTCACAGTTGGGATGGTGTTTGTAAGTGTTCCACTTTGTAACACTCCAAATGTAACACTGGTCAATATGGACAAACAGTTCAATCTTAGCTCCATCAGACCACAGGACACGTCTCCAAAAATGATTGTTTTCCCAGTGTAATTTAGCTAAATGTAATCTGGCTTTGTTGTTGATTCTGGCTTGTTGATTTTTCCATGTTGTCACACAAGGAAGCAGTGTGCTTGAGATTTTCCTTAAATACTATTCTACAGTTGAGCCTCCAATTAACTCAAATGTTGTCAATTAGCCAATCAGAAACTTCCAAAACCTTGACACCATCATCTGAGCTTTTTCAGAGGCGTAATAATCTTATTGTGTGTAAACTTGACTTCCAAGAAAAGTTATAACAATTTCTCAAAAAATATCTCTCTCTCATTATTCTGCTATAAAGCATAACAGAAACAAATTTGATAATCCTAACTTACTTGTAGAGAAAAAGTTTAGTGACATTAACATCTGACTTTTTAAAAAATGGTTATGTGCCTTTTTATACAGTGTATGTAAACTTCTGCTTTCAACTGTATAAGTATACAATATAGTCCTATAGTTAATTTACTAGTATAATTTTATTCATATTTTTCTGTATTATACACTAACATTGATATATTAAGCCTGTTAGGTAACTGACTCTGACAAATTATGCAAATGTAATATTTTTATATAAACCAGAATGTTTCGGTTCATTATTAACACTACTCTCTCATTATTACACATTAAAAAAACTATTGAAAGCTACACCATTAAGATGATTGTTGCTACACTGTCAGTTGACATTTCTTTGTGGCTTTTGCATGTTCTCCTCTTGTTCACGTGGCTTTCCTCCGGGTGCTCCGGTTTCCCCCACAGTCCATAGACATGTGGTACAGGTGAATTGGGTAAGCTTAATTGGCCCTAGTGTATGTTTGTGAATGTAAGAGTGCATGGGTGTTTCCCAGTGATGGGTTGCAGCTGAAAGGGCATCAGCTGCATAAAAACACATGCTGGAGAAGTTGGCGGTTCATTCCGCTGTGGCGACCCTTGATGAATAAAGGGACTAAGCTGAAAATATAATTAAAAGAGTCTATTGAAGTTATCTTATGTTAAACTGACCTAAAACAGCTTGCATAACTTATAACATTAAATTAGAGCATGATTAACTTGTTTTAATAAATTACAACGAACTAAAAAACCTATGCTGTCATGACTAATTGATCATATACTGTACATTTATACAGTGTAGAAGGGATACAGTTTTTTAAATTTATTTATTAATGTCTACCCTTACCCTAACCATCACAGTAATGTAAAAATAGTAATTTAATGAGTTTTATTTATATTATTTATTAAATTATAAATTAAGCTGTATTTTATTAACATCTACCCCTACCTCAATCACAAACTCAAGCCTTACAGTGATGTAAAAATATAATTATTGTTGTCATAAAAGTTATACTATATTGACGCAAGTATCCGCAGCTGCATCCCTTCTAGACTTTACCAATCAGAACCAATAGGCTACATTAAACCCAATGAGTTTGATAAACAATAATTAAAAAGACACTAAAGTAACTTGTATACTTCAAATACAGTACTTTATATCAACTATTGGTATATAAGGTAGTCCTATAGTAATTTACTAGTACCGTTTTATTTATATATTTTCTACTATATATCTAGCATTGATATATTAAGAATGTTAGGTAACTGACTCTAAATCGAATTATGCAAATGTAATATTTGTAAAAAAACAAAATGTTTTATTTAATTATTAACACTATTCTCTCATTATTAAACATTAAAAACAATCAATTTAAAGCTACGCCATTAAAATTATTGTTGCTAGAAGGGATACAGCTTTTATATTATTTATTAAAGTGCCCATCAATTTTATTTTATTAACGTCTACCTCTATCCCAACCCTAACCCAAGCCTCACAGTAATGTAAAAACAGTAATTTACCGAGTATTATTCAGATTATTTATTAAAGTACGCCAGAAATGAGATCACTCTGTATTTACGGTATTCATGTTAATAGCAAACAGTTTACAAATAAGTTTGTTAGAAATGTATTGTCAAAACAATACTTTCCATGTCAAGGAATGGAAAATATGTTCTACAGGATTTCAATGAAGAAGAAGCAATAAGAATAAGGAAACGTTACATATCGTGTCCGGTTCTTTCTAAGGCTAAAGAAGTAGTAGTTAAAATTTTAAATGACATTTACCCATCTAATTATTTTTTATTTGAAAAATTTAACTGGGGAAACAATTCATGCAGTTTTTGTGAGAAAGATATTGAAAGTGTACAACATATGTTTTTTCACTGTGAAGTTATAAAACATTTTTGGATTCATTTTTTTCCAAACTAATACAAATACTCTCTTTAACTGTGTCCTCAATCATAGTTGGTATATTTTTGAAGGACAAAGATCTAGACTTTTTGGTAAATAATCTAATTATTCTAGCTAAACAGTTCATTCATAGATGTAAATTTGTAAAGATGAAACCCCATTTCTATGGATGGAGGAATGATTTAAAGATGCTCGTAAGGTCTCTACACTTCGTGAGGAACAAAAACTTTCACATGCCTTAACCTCGTTTCTATTACTTGATTAAGACTCTCACGCCCCTACTTTTTTATTTAATTGTATTTATTTGTTTTTTTTGTGTGTGTTATGTTCCTAGTAATGTATTTTTATATCAACACTAACACTATTGGATTGTTGTAGCTATATGCCGTAATGGTTTGTACTTGAACGTATAATAAAAAAAACAATTATTAAAGTACGCATTATTTGATTAAAGTCTACCCCTACCCTCATAGCAATGTAAAATATCATTAGGCTATTATTGTATTATTGTAAATATAATTATTGTTATCACAAAAATTATGCTATGTTTACGGGAGTATCCGCAGCTGTATCCCTTTTAGACTTTACCCATAAAACCGATACATTTGCCTCAACAGAGTAAATGATGTAACATTCCCAACATTCGAAATGTCCCATCACGATGTGTTCCATTTTATATCCATACACACATAGGCTACATGCCTTTTTTTTTATCACTACTGCTAAGTAATTGGTTTTTACACGTTTTATTTAACGGAAACATCGCTAATACTTCGCCAACAAACACGTGTAACGCCAATAATAAAGCAAGTTTGAATCAAACTGAACAGAACAGAACCAAACGAATCGTGACTCACTGTACGGGTCGTCTTCGCTCTTGGTGCCGTTCACTTTCCCGTCCTTCCCGATCCTAAGGAAGAACTTCTGGAAGGAGAAGAGTCTCCTCTGGCGCACGTCGCCCTGGAGGTGCACGTAGCTGCGCGCATGCCGGCCGGAGGTGGAGGTGGATGCGGAGCTGGAGACCCGGAGGCATGCGCCGCGGCAGGTGACGGAGACCGCGAGAAAATAAACGACACACACCGACCAGCACGCAGACACACTCTTACTCACTGTCCATCTCCTCATGGTACTCCTCATGGGACATGCTGCTCAACCAATGTGCACTGAAGCCTCTCGCTTCTCAGAAGTCCACACAAAAGTGCTGAAGTAACCATGAAGCTGTGGAATTAAGTAGTGTCTTCTGATGGTGAGTACTTTATTAATCCCATCTAGGAAGGGTTATCATGGAAGCAAGCAAGTGTCCAGGCAAGCTAGTGTCTTTTCCAAGTCTCAGAATGAGTTTGTGGGATCAAGGGTGTCTTGGTGTGATCTTTAGGAGCTTCACAGAAATGCTGCTGTCTACTCCTCCTCCTTACTCCCTTACTCCTGTCTGTCATTTTCAGTCCCTTCCTCCGTTCTTTGACTCTCACCCCTCCTCATCGCCCACAATTCCCCCTGCCCTGTCTGGGGTCTGTATAGGTGCAGGGTTTGGCTGATAGGGCTTTTGTGAATGGCTGTTATCTGGAGCTCTTTGATAGCGGGCTGGGAAAGCAGCACAGATGATTGAGGAGATGAACAAACCTAACCAGAGGCCACTCTTGATTGGTCCCATCTGATGATAAGAAGCTCTGGGTTCGATAAAGTTGTAGAATAGTCATGCTTTCCGTCGTGGATTGAATCTCGTTTATCTCGCATAATTTTCAGGGTTCATGGAAAACCTGGAAATTTTTCCAGGCCATGGAAAAGTTTTGGAAACACAGAGTGTTCTTGGGAAATTAGTTGAACAAATCTCTGTATGCTTGATTATAGGTTAGGTGTCTGTTATTCATGCTCTCACATTATTAGTGCTGTGTAAGAATCATCTAAATCTATTTTACATAAAGAAAATAAATGGAAACGAAATAGATGTTGCATGTTGCATAATCAATTTAAGCGTGCACAGTTTTTCTCATTATTTACCGCGTTTACAGGGAGATTACATGAAACATTAGGTCATGAAGATGGACTTGAAGGTTCTAGAAAAGTCATGGAGTTTAGTTTCTGAGGTCTGAAGGAAAACTCGATTCTCCCCGTTTTGTCTTTTGGACTTTACGGGCCCTATTATACACTCAGCACTAGATGTGTTTGGCACGGTTTGTTGCTATTTTCAGACCAGCGCAACTGTAATTTTGCAGTTTTGTGACACGTTTTTTTAATAGCAAATCAATTTGTGCCACTGTTTGGACTTAGGGGTGTGCTGGTCTAAAAAGCAGGCTTAACACACATGGGATGTACAGCAATACACAGATCTCTTTACAAATGAAAACAATAAAAGGATTAAAATATTACAAATATAAAAAATATTACAATATAAAAAACACTGCCTCCATGCCTTCTTCATCTTGGAGGCTTTTTTTTTAGTTTATTCATAACAATTTGCATTTGTATAATGTTTATATTAGTAGTGTTATCATATATTTATTAGTAGTATATATATATACTACTAAATAACACAGCCATTCTCATCCACGCATTAGTTACTTCACGTCTTGACTACTGTAATGCACTTCTTTCTGGACTTCCTTCCAAACTTCTCCATAAACTCCAACTGGTTCAGAACCATGCAGCTCGTGTCATCTCTAGGACCCCATCTCACGAGCACGTCACACCACTCCTCTATCAGCTTCATTGGCTTCCAGTAAAATATCGAATTGATTTTAAAATATTGCTTCTAACTTTCAAGGCACTTCATAATCTCGCTCCTCAATATCTCACTGAACTTCTCCATATCTACACCCCTTCTCGTACCCTTAGGTCAGCTAACAACTTCACTCTGGCACCACCTCGCACTCGACTGAGCAAAATGGGAGACAGATCTTTTAGTTCTATGGCTCCTAGGCTATGGAACTCACTTCTAGTAGATCTTAGGAGCAGTGATAGTCTTCACAATTTTAAATCACGTCTAAAGACCCATCTTTTTAAGCAGGCTTTTACTTAACAATTTTTTATCATGTTTTTATTATGTTCTTTTATATTTGCTATTGCGTTTTAACTTGTTTGGTCATTGATTGTTTTTAGTAATGTTTAAGTTGTTTAGCATGTCTGATGATGCTTACTGTAAGGCGACCTTGGGTGTCCAGAAAGGCGCCATTTATAAATAAAATGAATTATTATTATTAGTATATATATATATATATATATATATATATATATATATATATATATATATATATATATATATATATATATATATATATATTTAAAATAGCAAGAGTGGATTCGGACATGCCGTTAATGCTTTTATGATATGTGCTTTAGATTTTTCACCTAGATAGTTAAAATAGAACCCATAATATTCTTGTTATTCTGTTGAACGCATTCATAAATGGTTTGTATCACACTACAGTGAAGAAAAGAATTAGATCGAGAATGTTCAAATGTATGGAAACATATGAATTTAAATGACAGAGAATATCTAGTTATTAGTTTGAAAACATCTGTAAAATATACTCTCACTTTATTAGGTACACCAGTCCAACTCTTTGTTAGCGCAGATTTCTAATTAGCCAATCACATTGCAGCAACTCTATGCATTTAGGCATGTAGACATGGTCAAGACGATCTGCTGCAGTTCAAACTAAACACCAGAATGGGGAAGAAAGGGGGTTTAAATTACTTTAAATGTGGCATGGTTGTTGGTGCCAGATGGGCTGATCTGAGTATTTCAGAAACTGCTGATCTACTGGGATTTTCACACAACCATCTTTAGGGTTTACAGAGAATGGTCTGAAAAAAAGAAAATACCCAGTGAGCAGCAGTTCTGTGGGCGCAAATGCCTTGTTGATCCAAGAGGTCAGAGGAGAATGGCTGGTTTCATCTGCTAGAAAAGTAACAGTAACTCAATAACCACACGTTACAACTGCAGAAGAGCATCTCTGAACGCACAACATGTCCAACCTTGAGGTAGATGGGCTATAGTAGCAGAAGACCACACCGAGTGCCGCTCCTGTCAGCTAAGAACAGAAAACTGAGGCTATGATTCGCACAGGCTCAATTGAGCATCGTCTGATGTCTACTTCCAGCAGGAAAACACACCATGCCATTAAGCGAGAACCATCTCAGACTGGTTTCTTGAACAGGACAACGAGTTAACTGTACTCAAATGGCCTTCACAGTCACCAGTTCTCAATCCAATAGAGCACCTTTGGGATGTGGTGGAACAAGAGATTTGCATCATGGATGTGCAGCCGACAAATCTGCAGCAGCTGTTTGATGCCATCATGTCAGTATGGACCAAAATCTCAGAGGCATATTTCCAGTTCCATGTTGAATCTATGCCACGAAGGATTAAGGCAGTTCTGAAGGCAAAAGCGGGTCCAACTCGATACTAGTAAGGTGTACCTAATGATGTGGCCGAGAAACTAGGAAATGCCCTTAAATGCACTCTAAAAATGCTGGGTTATTTTTTTTTAAAACTCAATTCTATGTGTAATATGGACTAAACCATAATTAATTGTTTGAGTTGAATTTGTAGGATCAAATTTTACCCAGTGTTTGCTTTTTCCCATATTTGACTTAATTTGGGTTTAATTAACTCAGCATTTCTTGTGGTTAATGGGGATTATAAAAAATACTAAAACATCATCATAAAAGAATCATAAAAGTAGTGCATGACCTCAAAATTCAGAATTGTGTGATATAAACAGTCTCTTTCTCAAAATTGTCAAAATAAACTTGTGCCCTTTTGAGAAATAAAGTCAGAATTGTAAAATTTCTCAATTATAAAAAGTCCTCAGATTTGTTTCATTTATTTTTGTTGTTGAGAAAACCAACAAACTGAGGGGAAAAAAATCTGAATTAAGACATAAACTTAGTTATTTATCTTAGATTTATTAAACTTTATTACATAAAGAATTGAGATAAAATCAGCATAGTATCTTGAGTTGACATTTGTTAAATTTCATAAATTGCATGCATGCTTTTTTAAGAAAAAAGTGTCAGAATTGTAAGTAATCTTGTATCTAGCAATTGTGCAAAATACAATACTGAAATTGAATTGAACTTCTGAACTGAGAAATAAACAAAAAAATTGCAAGAAGTGAAATCAGAACTTCAAGATACCAACTCAGAATAGTATGGAAAAAACACTTTCATTACCCAGCAGGCACACAACGTCATAAGATCTTAATATTAGGTTAGATTTAGGTCTTGATGTTGGGTAGGCATGGGAGGATAACCGTTTTCAAGGTATACCCAAAATTCAACATCTAGCCAGCGTCTAAGGACGTTATTTTGATGTCCAATAACGATGCGAAATGACGTTGATATTTGGTTGTTTTTAGGTTGTGTTGAAAAGTGACCAAAATCCAACGTCTAGCCAACATCAAGCCAACATCATATTGACATTTATTCATCAGGTATGACATCCAAAATCCGACATCTGATAGACATCATAGTGGTAACGTCCACACAACGTCAAGCTGTAACATCATTAGACGTTGATATTTGATTGTTTCTAGGTTGAGTTGGGTCCTGAGTCTGTGATGTTGGACACTGACGTTGGGTTCTGACATCAACCCAATTATCATTTTCACCCAAAAAAAGGGTACAACGTCAATCTGACGTCATGTTGACATCTTGTGCCTGCTGGGTAAACTCTTAAACCCATGTGGACATGGTCTGCCATATTTAACTACCCTTCGGATGCTATCAAAATCTAAGTCTATTAGCTTTGGTTTTAAACTCAGAAATATTTGTCTATCCGTAAAATCTCATGCAAAACAAAAACTCAACACCCCTCCAAGGTGAAAAAGTTGTGTGACTTCCACCCAAATCACATTGATCCCCAAACACCAGAGCTATTACGTAGTATTGATGAACTCAGATGTGTTTCCAGTGACCAATGCCTTGTGTGTTTTTGTTTATCTGTCAGCACTCAAACATGACTATCTTATCTGCACTTCCTGCTTTGTTCCCACTAAAAGCTTTTTTTTGCTGGATTCTTCACTGGAAATGAGGCTGGGTTATTGCCCCTCTTACAAATCACACTAATAATCTGTTTACTTGGTCATAAAATATGCAATCATAAAAAAGCCATAGTGCCGTAA